GACCCGCTGAGCAGCCCACCTTTACTCCGGGTGGGCTTCCCACCCGGAGTAAAGGTGGCTGCGCAGCTTCGCTTTCCCTTTGCTTCCTGTGATCCGAGATGGTACCTTGATGTTGTTTAAGCATTCAAACATGATTTCCTTCTCCTCTTTGCTTAGAGTGTAGCTAGCGGGACGTAAGTAATGGCGCCCATCATCATCTTTCTCTGGATGCAAAGTTGTCTCTTTCTCTCAAACAACGCAGTCTGTCGTGCTTCAAATGTGTCCTTAGGCTTTCCATACACACCCATAAAGCCTAGCAGGTTCACACAAAGATTCTTCGTCGGTGCATCACGTCGATCGAAGCTACGGACCTCCGAGGACTTGCCAATAGGGTAGGTCCCAAAATATGGACTTCTTCTTCCACATGGGTGCGTGACCGTTAGCGTCTTTCGAATAGGTTGGCTTCCATGTCCTTTTCCAAAGACGACTTTCACATCATTGACCATATCGAGTACATCCTCACCGGTTCGGTTTGCGAGGCTTGGTCGTGGTCCGCCTTCCCTTTAAAAATGCTTGCCTTTCTTTCTTACGGGTGATTTGCAGGAAGAAATCGACGATGGCCAAGGTACACGACCTTTCGACATTTTTTTTCAAGAATACACCTCTAATATCACCCAAGCAAAGGTGTGCATGCATTATATCCCTTGTTTGACTGTCTCCTGAAAGATTACTTAGAGCAGGCCAATCATTGATTGTTACGAACTACAATGCTCATGAGATCAAAGTGTTCTGTTTGTACTCATCCCACACACGCATACACCTTCTTTATTCCACAAAATGAGAAGTTCGTCAATAAGTGGTCTCGGTACACATCGATGTCATTGCAGGTTGCTTCGGGCCTTGGATGAGCACATGCATCATAATGAACTTCCGCTTCATGCATAACCAAGGAGGAATGTTGTAGATACTTAGAGTAATGTGCCAAGTACTATGACTACTGCTCGCTCTCCAAAAGGATTGATACCATCTCGTACTTAAAGCAAACCTTAAGTTTCTTGCGTCATTTGCAAACTCCGAGAATTCTCTCGTCGATTGCTCTCCATTGGGACCCATCAGCGTGGTGTCTCAACATATTGTCTACCTTACGGTCTTCTTTGTGCCATCGTAACAATTTTGCATGTTCTTTGTTTCGAACAGACGTTTCAAGCGTGGTATTATAGGAGCATACCACATAACCTTGGCGAGGATTTTCTTACGCGGACGTTCGCCCTCAACATCACCGGGGTCATCTCGCTTCGATCTTATATCATGACGCATGGCATACGGGCATGCATCCAATTTCTCGTACTCTTTTGCCATTTGCAGAGGATGCGTCATTAGGACATGCATGTATCTTCTCTATTTCTAGCCCCATAGGATGATAACTTGTTTTGCTTCAGAGGTAGTGGCGGGTAATTTATTGTACCGGAAGCATCTTCTTTTGGATTTTTAGTGACTCTCCAAATCCCTTGTCGATACACCATTCTTTGCCTTCCATTGTAGCAATTCTAGTGTGGTTCCCAATTTTTCTCGCCTCGCATCACAAGTTGGGTACAACAATTTCTTGTGATCTTCTAGCATCCGCTCGAACTTGATCTTCTCCTTTTCACTTTTACATTCTCTTTGTGCGTCACTTAATGACCGAGAAAGATCATCGGTGGCTCATCTTCTGCGGCTACCTCTTCTTGACTTCTCCCATGCAAAGTATCATTGAAGCACGCACCATCGGGAATAATATCATTGTCGTCCCATTGTTCTTCTTCACCTTCTTCCATTACAACACCGGTTTCTCCGTGCTTTGTCCAACAAATATAGTTTGGCATGAAACCCGACTTGAACAAGTGTGAATGAAGAGTCCTTGAGCAAGGATATTCCACCGTATTCTTACATATGGCACATGGACAACACATGAAACCGTCATGCGTTTGTTTGCCTTGGCCGTGACGTAATAAAGAATGCATGCCGTCAATGAACTCTTGGGAGCGGCGATCAGCATTATACATCCAATGACGGCTCATCGCATTATATGACATAAATATCATATTAAAACCTAGATCATAATTAATTATTTATACAACATGCGTGCCACCACAAAAGATACAAATTTATGAAAGAATCGCTACAATGTAGACAATCCCAACTACCACTAAAAGAACTAAAGCTAAAATACATTTCAGGAGCATAAGGATTTCATGACCAATCTCAACTAAAACATGCACAGATCCCCGATTGTGCAACATCTTTGGGCTTCTTTGTTTGGATCAACGCCTCATTAGCCGCCGATCTCTTTTTTGTTGTGCAAGATATTTTTACACGAGTTCAACATACTCTTCCTCCCAAGAGAAGCCTAAACATCGCCCACCGCCATCCCACTTTGAAATTAAAACAAAAAATTAGAACTTTAATCACAACCATCATGAAAATAGGTATAAACTAACCATAATCATTAAATACGATAAAATAACTCACATTGCGATCCGGACACTTGTAGAAGATACGATCCTTGTTGGGACCCTCCTTCTTCACTCGGTACTCCATCACAATCTTCGTCTCATCACGACACTTGCCGCATGGAATGAGAGGGAGGCCCGGCCTAAGTCGCTTTGGAAACCCATGAGAGGCCGAGGACCGAGCAGATTGCCATCTACTCTCTATACTCATTTTTTAATACACTATAAATTTCTCCTTTTATAAACAAATAAAATTAAGAAACTATAAAATTATCTAGATCTCTAAACAATGATATTTTTAATGGTCATTGTGTTCTCGCTTTTTCTGCGGCGGTAAGTAATTCACATGATATTTCCGTAAATTTACTGAGAAGAATGGGAGTGTACACACAATGCAGACTCATCGCGACGATATCGGGGACGTGTGAATAAATAACCATCCAGACTAATTGATTTTGCTTACGTGATCATCTCGACGAGCATTTTCTCCACCGGACGGCACTCAGACTTGGCCACGGAAGAGCTCCAATTCTACGAGGAAGGAACACGGTCTTCCACGACCGTTGCCGCTCTCCCTCAGAGAATCAAAGCTCCTCCTTGACGTCCGTTACCGCTTCGGCAGATAACGTGTTTCGCCGAGATGAACACGGTCCGCAAGTTCAACTAGCTACTTTAACCTTATTTCATGTAAATATGCAAGCTTGAAGTGATTTTGAGCTCAAATTGCTTACAAATGAAAAAACCACAATAAAGAACCATATATATATATATAGTGAACAAAATGAGATAAGACAATGGTGAAAAATGAGAGAGTATGAGATTGGTAACCTTTACAATCAAGAATCGATGGAGGAATCAAGAAATCGACGGAGGAATCGAATAATGGATGGAGGAACAATGGAGGGAGGAGGAAGCAAGAACACTAGTGCAAAGTGAGCTTCAAAATGTGCTTGAGCTCGGGCTCTGGGAGGAAGAAGGAGACGACCGGGATATAAAGGGGATTTTAGTCCCGGTTGGTGGCTCCAACCGGGACTAAAAGTAACTTTCCAACCCAAGCGCAGCCACGGCCCGGGAGTAGATTTTACTCCCGGTTGGAGCCACCAACCGGGAGTAAGATATACCTTTAGTCCCGGTTGGTGGCTCAAACCAGGACTAAAGGTCCCTGCCACCTCTGTTTGGCGCAGTAGCCATTGGGGCAGGGACCTTTAGTCCCGGTTGGAGACACCAATCGGGACTAAAGGTATTTCTAGTCCCGGGCGTAAAAAATTCCGGGACTAGAGCCCATTTTGACCGAGGATCAAAGGTCTGTTCTCTACTAGTGCCAGTTTTTTATTTATTTTTTGGCCCGAATTTGTAATTTCTTTACAATGTTTTGTAGAGGCGGCTCCTATTCCTAGGCGCCTCTAGAAATCCAATTTGCAGAGACAGCTGGAGAACTGTCTCTACAAGGCAAAAAATCAGAGGTCGGACATCCGCCACAATAAAGGTTTCCCAGCCGCTATTGTAGTGCTTTTATGTAGTAGTGTGTGACTGGAATTCGCGTCAACATGAGCCTTTTAAAGCCATTTGCATCATTTGGGAAGTTGGAGCTGCCGTCGAGTTGACGAGCTTGGTAACGGTGGCTTGAATACATATTTGGTTGTGGTAGTGGTGGCAAGGAAAATCTTAGGTAGTGTTTGGTTAGGAGATAAGGTGCAGTGGGATCTCTGGTTTCTGAGATGGGTTGGACCCATTTTCTATTTGGCTACCAAGGGACTGGCCTGACCCTTTTCTGGCGGACATGGTGCGTTCACGAGGCTGTCTCTCATAGTAGTTGTAGCCTTGTAGGTAGTGTTCTATGTTGCAGTGAATAAGTAGTGGTTGTATGGTTTTCGGGACCGGTCTCCCTGATAAACTGGGTCAATTCTCCTCTTCTTGTTGAGATATGCCGGAACAATACGTTCTTAGATCTTCTTTTAAACAAACGAGCGTTTCAAAGTGGTTTGCTCATTTTGCCATGGGTGTAGCTGGACCCGCTAACAGCCAGAAGTCATTTTTCCATTCGATGGTTCCTGCTCTCACCTCGTCACCGGCTAAGGGCTCACAAAATGAGTAGGAAAAGACACCGAAGTGCACACAACTCATCGTCTTTCCCATTCTTTCTTTATCCGGTCCAGAAATCAGACAAGCCGCTGCAGCCTAGATGTCCTGACCACCACCGTGCTCACGCGCCCGCATGTGTTGCGCATGTGCACCCCCAACTCCACCTATATGCCCCGAAGCAGTCCGTGGTCCTTTCCATCTTCCGGAGCTACCGGTGTTCGGCCCTCCAGCCCCAATTTTCTCCGGTTGTAGTCCCTGCGTTCGAGCTGAAGATAAGGTACGACGAACAAATAAAGGAAAGTTTTTCATTCTTCCCCACGTTTCAATTTCTTGACTCTTGTACATAAACGTAGGATTCTGCTTATTGGGAGTCCAATTAATTCCGGTGTCACAATTAAGATGGGAGGAATGCAGCATCATTTCTCTGTTGGGAATACCACCCGTGCGGCCATGGCATGGGCAGCTAGTCCGGTGGGCCTCCTCGTCCGCGTGGAGGTGCTGGTGACGGTCAGTTGTGCCCTTCTGGCTACCCTCGTCTTCCTCGGCTCCGGTCGCCGCACCAGCCGCCGCCCTGCCTTCCGGTTAGTGGTCTGGTTGGCGCTGATGATGAGCTACCCGGCGGTCTCCTACACGATCGGCCTGATGCAGTCCGGCTCCTTCCGCAACGACCTGGTGGTGGTGTGGGCCTGCTTCCTGCTCGGCTGCGCTGACGGCATCTCCGCGTGCAGTTTGGACGGCTCTGACCAGCAGGCCCGCACCTTCCTCAACCAGGCCGCTCAGGTCGTCTACGTCCTCCTCCTCCTGCTTTCCTACATCAGTTCCCTGCATCTGCAGCTGAAGATCCTGCTGCTGCTGCTCTGGCTGCTCAACGTTGCCAAGCTCGGGATGCGCCTGCAGAGCCTTCTGTCAGCTGGTCGGGACCGCACCCTCTTCGCCGACAACTGGCTCATCTCCAAGTACATGGCCCAGCGAGAGTACGTGATGAAAAGCACCTGGGACTTCGACCCGGGCACCATGAAGGGCTACAAGTACGTGGTCACCGGCGAGAAGAATGTGCAGGACGGCATGGGGGCGTACAAGCTTGAGGTCACCGATGACCTTGTCACGGTCGAAAGAGTGTGGCAGTGCGAGGGGAGTCTGCTAAGCAAAGACGACGCTCGCTCGGGCAAGCTTAAAGATCTTTGCCTCTCATTCGCCCTGTTCAAACTACTACAGCGACGCCTCAACGGGAGCGCGCTCGACGAGCGCGATGACGTCCGGACCCTTGTGTTTGTCCGGAGGGGCCTCGCCGGCGGGGATCTATGCAACGATCATGAGAGGATGTACCGGGTGATCGAGGTGGAGCTGGGTTTTCTCTTCGACTTCTTCTACGCAAGGTACCCCTCGCCGAAGCAGACTCTGGTACCGGAGACAGCCATGTTCGTGGCGGCAGTGGCGCTGAGCCTGTCCACTCTCCTCTCCTCGCCGTTCCGGCGCTACCATGATCACCGGAACAACATCCACTTCATCTCAACAGTCCTTGACATCTGGTTGGCTAGGCTGGTGATAGTCCTGTTCCTCATCCTGGAGCTGTTCCAGTACCTGTCCCTGGTGTTGTCGGACTGGCACAAGGTCAAGATGACCTGCCGGTATGTACGCAAGCAGTCGTGGCATGGGCACCCCGGCATGGAGATGGTTCTATGGTTGATGTCCCGCGCTACTCTGACATCAAGGTACTGGAGCAACTCGGTGGGGCAGTACTCCCTCCTCCACGCCTGCTTTCAGAACCAAAGATCCAACCTTTTACGCATGCCACTCCACAAATGGATCAAGGGTCGCATGGTGGAAGCAAGGAGGATCACACGGCGGAGCCTGCCTGTGTCAGTGAAGCGGGCAATCCACGCATTGCTCCGGTCGGAATGGCTGTCTTATATAAAGTACGGCGACCGGACGCTGCAAAGGAACGACTTGCTACAGGACTTGGACTGGGCGACCTCAAGGTATGCGTACGGTGCCATTGGCAGCATCCTGATCTGGCACATCGCAACCACAGTTTGCGACGCCCAGCTGCTGTCTAAACGGACGGCGGCTGGTGGTACCTGCAGAGCACGGGGAGTTGCTGGCGGCGGCGGCAGTTGCAGCAGTCTCGCCGACAGTCACGAGGTGGCCACCACGCTGTCCAGCTACTGTGCCTACCTGCTGTTCCAAGCGCCCGAGCTGGTGACCGACGAGATCTTCGACGAACGCTTGCTGATGGAAGCCCTGCATCGTCGAATACAGCAATACCTCCAAGGCTGCCGCACCATGGATGAGATGTTCCAGAAGCTGTCAGTGTTCAAACCTGACAGTGAGGAGAGCGCGTACGAACAAGTCATCCTAGCCGATGGCATAAGGCTGAGCCACGAAATCCAAGAAAAGATGCCAGACGAGGGCCTGCTGTGGACTGTGCTTGCCGAGATGTGGGTGGAGCTGCTGCTGACGGTTACACCGTCGGATGACGTGACAGGCCACGTCAAGAGGCTTGCCACCGGCGGGGAGCTCATCACACACCTCTGGGCTTTGTTGACGCACGGCGGGGTGATCGACAAGCCAAAAGAACCTTACTATGGTAAAGGTTCGTGAAAGCTGTGCTGCACGTCAGCGATGGAACTCTCGCTATCGGAAGTCCTTTCGCCATCTTTCTTTGTTTACGTCTTAGATACATTCAATAAAAAATCGTGTTGCATATATATTTGTTGCACTAGATTATAATTCAGTATGTATCTTTTATTAGGGGCTGATTATGTACATCCAATGACTGGTTTTATTAATCTTGCCAAGAAATTCGAGGATTAAAATGGAATTTCAGATAGGGTAAAACAAGTGTACAGTAGCAATTGGGGGAAATGATGGCCTGTTTGGTGAGCTATACCAACTCCAGATCCACAACAACCAGATCCATTAGCCAAACACTTTTAGATCCAGCAGCTCCACCATGGAGCAGCTCTACGAAACCCATGGATCTACCCCCACATCCATAGATTTCGTAGAGCACCTCAAGGATGTTCCACCAACTCAAATTTGGTGTAGTTGGAAAAATTACCCACCATTGGTCCTGGTTACACAAAAAAATGGTTCGTTTTTTTTTGTTCTTTCTCTCTACCGCGCACCAACTGCAAGCGCCGAGGGGCACCGCCGCCACACCCGTGCCACCACGTGAGGGAGCCGCCGAGCCGCGTGAGCATCGCGTGCACGGCCTCCGACCCTGCCTCGCGCGGGAGTCCGGCCGCTGCCACACGTATGCTCCTCCTCGCAAAAGCGAGATCTGGCACCACCACTCGGTAGCTAGCCTCGCCACCACGCATGCTCTAGCCGACTCAGAAAAATGATTTCTAGATGCGGGCCAAGTAGGATGCCCATCTCACAAAAAGGGAATTGCATGCCCACCTCTGTAAATTGATTAAAAATGAAAAGAAAGCATAGCTCCTGGGGCAGCTGCTTCTGCTACTGCGCTCGCCATTGGGATCTCGCTAGACTCGCCGTTGCCGTGCTCCTTGATGTCATTGCCATGGATCCATGGAGCACAACCGCACGGTTGCCGTCATGCTTGACATGAATCCGTGGCGGATCTGAGGATCTCAACTACATGGATGGATAAAAATGGAGAGTGAGACACAGAGAGAGAAAGAGATGGGGGATAGCGGGGGATGTGGCTCACCTCCAGTGTGGATATACTACCATTGATCCTGCTCGTCCTTGCCTTCTTCATCTCTGTCCAGATCCAGCCTCCTTGCCTTCTTCGTCTCCGTCTAGATCCAGCCGCAGTCGAGCCCACTCGTCCAATCAACACAACGGGCCACTGCCTCCTTGAGACCACGGTGAGCCACACCAACTGCCGGCCTCCTCCTCCATGCCCGAGATCTAACACCAGGGCGCCTCCTCTTCACACTGTCAAATCCTCCTCCGTGTTGCCTCCACTATGTGCCGGGGTGAGATGGGGAGCATGGTCAGGGTGGGGTAGGTTGTGGGGCAGCGGCCGCTGTTGACGTTGTGTTAGGGCAGCAGCATGGTCTTACATGTGGCTGGCAGCGTGGTGAGAGATGTGTGTAGGCGAGTGTGAGGAGGCAAGGTGGTGTCTTGTTGGGGGCGGTGGCATGGACTTAGTGGCGGTGGCTAGCTGGTTAGGGTTTCTTATTGGGATATTTTCTTTTTACAAGCAGCCCGTAGAAGATAGTTGCCTCTCAAAATTGATTTCCAAAGGTGGGCCTCTTAAGTGGAGCTGCCTCTTGCCCCAAACCCGCCTTTCAAGTATGTACCGTTGCACTACCATTCATGAAAGCAACACTATGTCTTCTATTTTTCATAGACTTTCAACCATACATCCAAAAATTCTCAACATTTATCAGATCATATAAAACTTCATTATCTACAACGTAGGAATAAAGAGTTTTGTTATAAAAAGTACTCCAGAATGGCCTAAACAATCATTGAACTTAACTGAATACTTCTGACGACCAAATCTGAATAACATAATTCAAAGACTCATAACTAGAGATATACTAAACTAAGAATATTAAACTTTGCCAATATGGAAAGCATATTAAAAACTCTACAACTTTTAACTTTTGTTCACATCAAAAGCTTAAAATTTCCATTAGGATGGCTAAAAATAGGCCTGATCTGAAACTGCAGATAAACAATTATCTTGTAACATTGATAACTGTCAAAATACAGATGCTATGAAGGTGACCTTAGTATAAAAAAAAAGTATTGAAGTCCCCTACAACTTTGTCAACGGTGGAAAATTTTCCTTAGACAATTAAGATTCCCAAAAATGAAGATGAACAAAAACTGCACAATGTGATGGATTTTCAAAACGTGGATGAGATTAATTTCAAGGATCACTCCAAATAAACCCCTTCTAAACAAGTGATTTAATCCATAAAATAGACCAAATAAAGTGAATTAGGATTTGACATCTCACATAGGGCAACCACATTGAGTACACTGATGAACCCACAGCGACCCACTACTTTTTTCCCTTCCCGTCCCTTCTGACGCCGATGTCCCTTTGCCCCACCCGACAATGCTTTGGCCATCGACGCGCTTTGGCCACGCTTTGCGGGGTCGAAGCTGACGCGCCTTGGCCCCTCTTTGCGACAGTCGACGCCGATGTCCCTTTGCCCCACCCTACGGCGGTTGACGCCGCCGCACCTTTGCCCCGCACCTTTGACCCCCCTTGCCCTACAAGGTGAGGCGCATGACGGACGGCTTCACCTCCTCGTCGGAGTCGATGACGTACAAGGCGCCGCAATCGCCCGATGGGGCGAACTGGCCGCGCTTGATGCATGCCTGAGTCTTGGCGTTAAAGCTGCGGTGGCCGCTGGACATTGCAGCGCGCATGAGGGGCAATGGAGGAGGAGGCAGCTAGGGCTTGGGAGAGGAGGAGGCACCGATCAGTTTGGGAGAGGAGAGGCGAGGGTTTGGGAGAGGAGGAGGTGGAGTGTGCGAGGAGCCGCTCATAGACTGCTCTAGGTTTCATTTGTTAGAACAGAGAAGGCTCCAAAGCTCACTACGTAAAAAACGTTTTTTAGCAACGGGAGGAATTTTTTGTAGGGGCGGCTGGTGATGGAGTCGCCCCTACAGTGGCGTGCTCGGGAGCCCAGACACCAGCCGCCCCTACAAATGGAACAGCAGGGGCGGCTGGTGATACGAGCCGCCCCTACAAATGGGTCTGATTTGTAGGAGCGGCTCACTCACCAGCCGCCCCCGAAGTTGATATTTGTAGGGGCGGCTGGTGATTGAGCCTCCCCTACAAATGCATGTACAGTCGCTGCCCATCCAAAATATCTACCGACCTCTCCTCTCTCTCTCTCTCTCTCCGTCTCGACTCCCTCTCTCTCTCCCTCGCTCTCCCTCTCCTCCGAGCCCCTCCGTCTCTCCCCCACGCCGCCCCTCCCTCTCCCCCATGCGGTGACGGGACCTCCCTCTTCTCCGCGCGGCAGCACCCAGCGGAGGCGCACGGCATCGCACCCCCCTCTTCTCCACGCGGCGGCACTCGGCGGCGCACCCTAGGGTGGCGGGGGTTCTGGGGCGTGGCCTCCAGGCGGTCGCGCGGCGGGCTCGGTGCCCTCCTCCAGCGCCGGCAGTCGCGCGGGTGCCCGTCCCCCGATCCAGGCAAGGGCAGCGCGGAGCAGCCTCGCCGGCCTCGATCCAGGCAAGGGCAGTGTGGAGCAGCCCGGTGCGATGGAGGCTCCCCAGTTCTGATCCGACATAGGGCGGCGTGGAGGAGGCTCGCCGGCCTCGATCCAGGTAAGGGCGGCGGCGCGGAGGAGGCTGCCCAGCCTGGTTGTAGCACTGCTCACCCTCCGCCATAGCGGGCGACCGATGAGGGCCTCTGCTTCGACCTTCGATTGTCTTTGTGCAGTGTCTCCACTTGGTAATCACTCTGTGCTCCGCTCGGTTACACTATTGCTTTAGGAATCTCCGCTTGATAATTTAGCGTCAATAGTTCTTAGCTTGCACATCCTCGTATGCAGCCATGCATGAAAGCTTTCCTGGTTTTTCCATTGAATATTGAACAATTGACGAGCTAGCGGTCTGAGGAAAAATAAAGTAAAACGAGCTAGATAGTATACTCCATGCTGTATCGTATACTCAGAAAATCACAAGCATGTTGTATTGTATACAACACATATTGTGGCTTCCCTGAAAGATGTATGTTTACTAGAAGCTAATGTCATCAGTCAGTTGGATCTGAATCTGAGAGGTTAGGAACAGACTCCTAGATGAAACAAAAGTGAGATCTTGTTTTGACCATTCGAACTAGTGTCATATCAGTGTTCAATGGTGCTCTATTATAATGTTAATAGTTACTGTTATAACAAGCTGGTAGTTACTACATATCAACAATATATGCTGAACAGTATGGAGGAGTAGTGTCTGTTATCATGTAATGACAGAGGAAGTTGTGATATAGATGCCGGAAGCAAGTTGTGATATTCATGCATCCTACTTCTGGTTATCTACAAATTTGATTAGATTAAAGTAGTGGTGCTTTATTCTTTGTACAGAGGGAACTGTAGTTCAACATGAAAGTCGGTTCTTACTATAACAGTATAACTGAACCAAAATAGCTGATTTTGAATATGTTGGATGGATGCACCGAACATGTGACTTATATGGAGTAAAGTTATTAATTAATAGGTGATTCTGTGGTAATTTGTTTTGCAAAATTGTATCCTGCCGTGTGGTGACTGAACTGACTATGGGAAAAGCTGAAGCTTGAGCTAGGACTCTGTTTCTGTTTGGAATCCTAGTTTTGCTGGTGCATAGTTAAGCTTGAGGTGGCTCCAGATAAGGCAAAATTGCTGGTGCATTGTATTCCCTCCATCTGTGAATGTAAAGCATATTTTGTTTTGTTAGAACAGCCTTTGACCAACTGTATTCTTTTAATTTGCCCTTTTATAAAACAAAATTTCAATCAAATAAGTACATTTAAATACAAATCTATTGGCACCAATTTTGTATCCCTAAAGTTAGTTATATACTGGTAGAGTAATTGTTGGTCAAAGGCTTCTAACACTGACAGAGGGAGTACATAATTATGTAATGTTAGAAGAGCACGGGCACGCCACACTAGT